GCTAATTTTTGTATTTTTAGTAGAGATGGGGTTTCACCATGTTGACCAGGATGGTCTCGATCTCTTGACCTTGTGATCCACCCGCCTCGGCCTCCCAAAGTGCTGCAATTATAAAAATATTTCTAATCTTTAGAAAAATGTAAAGAAAAACCACAATGAAGTAATGCATTAATCAGGATGGCCAATATCAAGCAAACAAAAAATAATATATATTGTCAACAATGTAGAGAAATTAAGAAATTGAAACCCTGTATGCTGCTGGTGGGAAAAACGTGATGCAGCCACCTGAAAAATGTATGGATTTTCCTCCAAAAATTAAAAATGAAGTTATTGTATGACCCAGTAATTCCAAGTCTCAGCATGTATTTGAAATATGCAACATATACCTGAAAGAAACATTTGTGCATCTATGTCTACTGCAGTAATAAATAGTTACTATATTAGTGTATTCTTGCATTGCTATAAAAAAATTCCTGAGACTTAGTAATTTATTTTTCAAAAGAGATTTAATTGGTTCACGGTTCTACAGGTTGTACAGGAAGCATAGCAGCTTCTGCTTTTGGGGAGGCCTTGAGGCTTCCAGTCATGGCAGAAAAAAAAGGGACAGTGAGTTATCTAACATGGTGGGAGTGGGAGCAAGATAGCATGAGGGGGAAGGTGCCACATGCTTTCGAGAAATGAGATCTCAGGAGAAGTCACTCACTATGGCAAAGACAGTACCAAAGGGGATGCTGCTAAACTATTAATGAGAAGCCAACCCTATGATCCAACCACCGCCCACCTGCCCACTTCCAACATTAGGGTTTACAATTTGACATGAGATTTGATGGGAACACAGATCCAAATCATATCATTTACAAAAGCCAAAAAGTGAAAATACTCAAACGTTCTTCATAGATGAGTGATTTAAAAAGATGTGGTTTATACATACAACAAAATATTCTGAAGCCTCAAATGAAAATATCTTGTCAGATGCTACAATAAGGATAAACCTTAAAGCTATTATTTATTTATTATTTTAACAAGTTCATCATTTAGTAAGTCTGAATTCATTTTCACCAAATGGTACTGTACACGGTCATCTGTTGAAACGGGTTTCTTTTTTAACAGATCTTGGTTTAAAAAAGTCATAGATAGTTACTGTGAGTTCTGTATAAACTGGTTAGATCCTTTGTTTCAACTTATAATCCTCAACTTTACTGCAGAATAAAGAATGTAGGCCAAAGAAAGCATAATCGGTCACTTGTATAGAACAGTATTGTTTCTATAATTTGAAGCTTTCTGAATGGATGGGTTCAGGCCTGATGTAACTGTAAAAAGATTACTTAATGAATAGACTATATGGAAATTGTACAAAATGTTATCACCTATAGTCATCAGTAGCTTAAACAGCACTATATCACTAATTGCTATTCAAAATCAAAAACGTGTTTTTGAATCCCCAAGAAGGTAGCATGTGTACACAACCATACCACCTTGTACTTAGGGGTGGTCAATACATAATTCAACAGAAACTTTGGCTTTAGGAAAGAGTCACAAATATTTAAAATGGCTTTAATCGTCATTTTAAGTATACGGTAGGGGAAAAGTGTGCTTTAATTAAATATATATCATACCAGTGATGCTGGCAAGGTTGAAAGTTACTCCTAATGTTGACAGCTATAAAAACTAGTTTAGACATAACAAGACAATGAGAGGAAAAAGCAGTCCCTTTGAAACAAAATTCTCTAATAAAAAATGTTCACAGTGGTTCATATCAAACAGTATGCATTTTATGACAAGAACACATACAGAATCAGAGCACCCTAGGGGTCTCTTTATGTCCTAAAGAAAATGAGCTTTTACATGATTATGGGTTGTACTGAATTAAAAAAAGATCATTTGTACACTTACCCCTTAGAAAGGATAAACTGTCCTGGGGTGTACAGCTTTACCATCATTAAAATTGTTTGCAAAAGGAATAGAGAGTTAAAAAATAAAACACTTTTTGGAGTGAAGTCTTTCATTTGCTGTTATAACCAGCAAATGCCATTCACTAAATCAAAAACGGAAGGAAGGGCCCCCACAAAGACAGATCTAGCTAAGCAAGCTGACCAGTACACATTATAGTCTTAAAAATGAAGGTTATATACTCTATGTTACAAGTCCCAGCTAGGCAGTGTCAAAATGAATCTATTTCTTTGCTTGTTTTGTGATCATACCCCTTGGAGGTGTTATAGGTCTTGTGGCATTCGTCTTCTTTTTCTCTGCAGGCTTTAAAATCTGAAAAGAACCCATCAGTGTTTCATCCACACTCATCATGGCACCTGCATTGTCAAACTCTCCACAATAATTGGGTGCAGAAAACAGAGTGACCAACTGCCTCTTTGCAAAAAATTCATATCCATCTTCAACTACCTGATGGGCTCTACATATAAGATCCAAATCATGCTTATGGAGAAATTTTGCAACCACTTCTGCACCAAATGTAAAGGACACTCCTCTGTCATTTTCACCCCAGCCTAAGACATCTTTATTGGGGTCAGATCACAAAAGATCACAAAGAAGATCTTGATCTGGTACATCAGTTGGTCGCATAATTTGCTGAATCTGCTCCATTGACTGAAGATCTGGTGATAAACCTCCATGACAGCAGAATATCTTCTCATCCACGATGGCTGCTATTGGTAGACAGTTAAAACAGTCTGTGAAAGTTTTCCACAGTTTAATGTTGTATCTTCTTTTACATTCATCATAAAATCCATAAATTCTGTTGATGCTGGCACATTCATGGTTCCCTCTGAGAAGAAAAAAATTCTCAGGATATTTGATTTTGTAGGCCAGTAAGAGGCAGATTGTCTCCAATGACTGCTTTCCCCTGTCCACATGGTCCCCAAGAAACAGGTAGTTGCTTTCTGGCAGGAAACCACCGTACTCAAAAAGTCGCAGCAAATCATAGTATTGCCCATGGATGTCACCACACATTTTGAATGGTGCTTCAAGTTCTAGTAGGATAGGCTGACTGAGAAAGATCTCAAGATACTTTAAGCACAGTCCTCTGATTTCATTCTCCTGAAGCTGGACATTCTTACCAGGCTTGGACCCTCTCACTTCCAGCAGCCATTGGATGATGCTGTCCATGTTGAGTTTATCTAAATCTGCCATCACCCTCCCACCGCCGATCCTCCCTCAGCGGTGCCGCTGCCGGCTCGCACCTGGGACTCACACCTCCTTTCCCACGCCACGAGCAGAGGCGGTGGTGGCGGTGGTGGCAGTGTGACATAGCTAGCCTAAAGTCAGAACCTGAGCAATGCCATTTTATACAAGACAAATCTGTTTTCCAAAATTAAGTTGTAATAGCTGCCCCATTCTCCTCACAATAACTGCTGGCCTTGGCTTCTGTAAATAAAACTGCTAGTTTGCTCTGCGAAATAACTACTATGTAAAGCTGCTTAAACTTTGCTTATCAGTAACTGCTCTCTGTGGCCCTAATGTGACAGGCAAGCAGTCCTAACCCACGCCATCTTGTCTCCTGCGACTTGTAATAAGTAACTAAGGTCTGTGATTTCCACCTTACCCAGATAATGTGTTAACAAATGTTTATCTTGACTTCTATAAATCACTTAAGTAACAAACGGAATGACAAAAGTCCCCTGGCCCTTAGAATATCCGGAGCCCTCGTCTCCGCCCAGGAGGTGATTTACAGAATCCACTAGCCCTCAGAATGTCTGAAGCCTTTTCATCCCCATCCCCACTCCTTACCCCCACTCCGAAAGTGGTTTTTCGGGTATTAAAAAGTCTTGGCACCCTCCTTTCGACGCCACAGGTTGGAGAGACGTGAGTCCTCTGTGGTCGCCGGCAATAAAGACCTGTAATTTGGCATACTTTTGTCTTGGTGTTAATTTTCTACGCTTGGTCCAGTATAACAGCAGCAGCCCTGGCAGGTCCCCACCCGACTGCCCCGGTCCCTGATTCCTCCTTCTCTCCCCACTGGAACCACGACAAAGCCATTATTTTAAGCGAACTAAGACACTAACAAAGTGACAGTGTATGACTCCATTTATATAAGATATTTTAAGTAGTAAACTTGTAGAAAACAGTAGTAGAAAGGTGCTTGCCTATGGTTAGGGTTGTGAAACCTCAGTGAGGCCAAAGATCGAAAGGGTTACTTGGGGAAAGCAGGCCCTCACCCTGGTGTCCAACTCAAGAGCCCATAGACATGGCTACAGACAAGGAAATGGTATGCCAGTCTTGGTCTTACTGAGGATTCTGAAGCAGTTCTGCAACCTCTGTCTAACTGCTCTCAGCTATAATCCAAAAGTGGTCCTTCCTATCAAGAGACCTGCAGGAGAACACACCCAGCTGTGACCCTGGAGGCGGGCCTGCAGATCTTGACCTCAGCTGTGGTCCCTGAAGCAGCCCTGTGACTCAGTTCCAGCCCTCACAGCCACAGTCAATGGCCAGTTGTACACACTCAGGGACCCACAGAGAGACCTGTGAAAACTGTTCCCAGGTAGTCAGTAGAAGCCAATCCCATTCATACACATGGTATTTTGCCTATCATGTGCAGACAAACTTCAAACCCGACCCTACTGCCTGCCATGTAGATTAATGTCCTCAATGATATTTAATCTTTCCAGGGCCCAGAAAGAATCTGTAACTGTCCAAATCTCTGGTGTGGGTAACCCCCATTCTGGGCACCGAGGAAGGAGAGTTAAGCAGATCCCCAGCACAATTAGTGCCTGAAGAATATCTTACTGCTCATTTATTTCCCTTTATATATAGTCTCTTCATAGATAATCATATCTCAGTTTATAGTTGGAGGAATATCTAGAGCAGACACATTGCAGAGCATGAACTAGGGAAAAACAGCTACACCAGGACAAGAATCAATGACCCAGGTGGTAGTGTCCCTGCCTGAAAGGGCATACGCTACATGGCAGGTCAGTCTAGGTGGCAGCGTTCAGTATTGTAAAGATGCCCGCTGTATGGCAGGCTTGGAGCAAGAGTCACTCCTCCTAAAAGGGAGTAGTAACTTGTGTCCAGTCTTGTGGAAAGCCAGCCTCAGGATGGCAATCCCATGTATGTCTGAGGGCTTAAAACCCCTCCAGTATAATCGCACCTAGGTAGCTGTACATCCTGTCAGCTCTCTCGCCACTGTGCTGACTCAAAGCATTCTCCTACAGAAATCCTTAGTAGCAGCCTGCAGGTGGCTATAGATCCTGTCAGCTCTGTTGCTACTGTGCTGACTCAGAGCATCCTCCTATAGAAATTCTCAGAACCCAGGAGGCGGAGGTTGCGGTGAGTCGAGATTGCGCCATTGCACTCCAGCCTGGGTAACATGCGTGAAACTAAACTCCGTCTCAAAAAAAAAAAAAAAAAGAAATTCTCAGAAGTAGCCTGCCCATAGATAAGAGATTTTGCACACTGCGCACTGCCCACCTCCTTAGGGGTGGGCCCCTTGCTATACACTGACCACCTCCTTATCTCGGTGACCTAACGGGGGTGGACCCCTTGCTTATCGCGCACATGATTGCATTGACCCTAACACTATCCTTAAGACAATCTCACTCACTACCCTTCCCCCTGACTTGTACCTAATAAATACAGATGCACCTGGATGCTTGGGGCCTTGCCTGTCTCCGCTTGTAGGTAGTGTTGGCCCCCCTGAGCCCAGCTGCTCCTATCCAGTCCTTTGGTGTCCTGTCTCCTTATTTCTCCGATCCAGTACCTCAGCATAGCGATAGGAGACACCCCACAACCCTAGTAGGGCTGGATCCTACATCTGGTAACACAACCATCAAAGGCAGACCCCACAGCAGAACCAGCAGACCCTTGTGAGCCAGCTACGACCCTTCTCAGCAACCCCAGAGGTAATCTCATCAGCCTGGGGACCCAACAAAAGGAAATCTTTATGGCTGGGCACGGTGGCTTGCACCTATAATCCCAGCACTATGGGAGGCCAGGATGGGTGGATCACGAGGTCAGGAGTTTGAGACCTGCCTGATCAACATGGTGAAGCCCCATCTCTACTAAAGACACAAAAATTAGCTGGACATGGTGGCTCACGCCTGTAATCCCAGCTACTCGGGAGGCTGAGGCAGGAGAATCACTAGAATCCGGGAGGTGGAGGTTGCAGTGAGCCAAGATTGCGTCACCGCACTCCGGCCTGGGTGATAGTGACTCTGTCTCAAAACAAAACAAAAGGAGATCTTTACCTGCCAAAAGTAGTTTATAAAAACTGTAAGAGTTGTTAGATCCTTCAAATGTACAGACATGGGGCTGTTTGAGGGACCACAACTGAGGCCAAGATCTGCAAGCATGCCTCCAGGGCCACAGATTCTATCTTAACATATTACTGAAAGTTTGTATCAGAACAATCAGGCAAGGAAAATAACAAAGCTCTCCAGCTTGGAATAAAAGTAAAAATGTTACTGTTTGTAGATAACAGGATCACGGATATAAATAAAACCCTAGAGTAAAACAACAAAAACTGAACTAATAAATGCATTCATTAAGGTATCAGGATAAATAATCAACATACAAATACTTGTGGGATTTTTTGTTTGAGACAGGGTCTCACTCTGCTGCCCAGGCTCATCTCAAACTCCTGTGTTCAAGTGATTAACCTTCCTTGGTCTCTAGCCTTTGAAAGTGCAGGGATTACAGAAATGAGGCACTGCACTTGACTGTACATACAAATATTTGTTGTATTTCCAGATAGTAACAACAAAGTTCCTAAAAAAAAGAGAGAAAGCTACCAATTGCAATAGTATAAAAGTAAGAACTTAATAAAAATAAATATAAAGGGGCCGAGCATGATGGCTCATGCCTGTAATCCCAGCATATTGGGACGCCGAGGTGGGCAGATTACTTGAGGCCAGGAGTTCCAAACCAGCCTGGTCAATATGGCAAAACTCCATCTCCACTAAAAACACAAAAAGTTAGCCGGGCACGGTGGCACAGGCCTGTGATCCTAGCTACTCAGGAGGTTGAGGCAGGAGAATCGCTTGAATCTGGGAGACGGAGGTTGCAGTGAGTTGAGATTGACCACTGCACTCCAGCCTGGGTGACGGAGCGAGACTCTGTCTCAAAAAATAAATACATAAATAAAATAAATAAATGTAAAGGAGGAGATAAAAATGTATACACTAAATACAGTATGATATGGATGACAGAAATTGAAGTAGATACCAATAAAAGAAAACACATTCCATCAGGATAACTAATATTGTCAAGGAATATTATCCAAAGTGATCTATAGATTCAATGTGATCCCTATCAAAATTTTTGTGGCATTTTTCAGTAATAGAAAACATATTTGTAAAATTTAAGTGTAATCTTAAATAACTTAAAATAACCTGAGCAATCTTGAGAAAGAACAAAGCTGGGGGCATCTACTTTCTAATTTCAAACTTTATTTAAAGGTTATAGTAATCAAGAATATAGTATGTGCATAAAAACAGATACAAAAACCAATGGAACAGAGATACATATATACTTCCTACAACAGTAAACCTTAAGTGTTCTTACTACAAAAAAAAAAGGGTTATGTGAGGTAATAGATGTGTTCATCAACTTGACAATATTGTTTCAAAATGTATATGCATATTAAATCATTACACTGTACAAATTAAATATACAGCTTTATAATTTTTATTCATCAGAAAAATCCATATCACACAAACACACATGTATGGTAAGTCCTCACTTAATATTCAAAATAGGTTCCTGAAAACTGCATCTTTAAATGAAACAATGTAGCTATACACCATTCAAACATAACTTGTTTTTATCAATTAAACTCTGGTAAAATAGTTTTCTTAAACAATATGTTGTTTTATGTACATTTTCCAAGAACCTATCAACAATGTTAAGTGAGAATTTCCTATACACATATGACTCATATAGATGTGCATACGTGTGACACATATTTCTACATATAGATTATAGCTCAATGACAGAATCCTAGTAGGCTTCCTGCTAAATAAGACAAAATTATAAGATAATAGTTATTAAGAAATAAGGTAACAAGAGCTTAATATACACTTAGGAACGTTCTAAACTGGTTAATGACACAGTGCATTTAAGAAATCTAGACGGTGGGCTGGACACAGTGGCTCATGCCTGTAATCCTAGCATTTTGGGAGGCTAAGGCGGGCAGACCACTTGAGGTCAGGAGTTCAAAACCAGCCTGGCCAGCATGATGAAACCCTATCTCTACTAAACATACAAAAAAATTAGCTGGGTGTGGTGGTGGGTTCCTGTAATCCCAGCTACTCGGGAGCCTGAAGCAGGAGAAGGCAGATGATGCAGCAAGCCGAGGTCACGCCACTGCACTCTAGCCTAGGCAACAGACTGAGGCTCCATCCACCTGCCCCCACCCCCAAAAAGAAAGAAATCTAGAAGGTGAGTAGATACTTTAAACCAACAGTATCCAATCCTTTGAGTGTGAGAGCATTTTTGCTTATCTGTGCTGATGGATATCACAAAAATTATTCACAAACCTATTTCTTTTTTCCTAGCTCATCAGCTGTAATTATTGTTTGTGTATTTAATAATTTTAAGTGTGGTCCAAGATAAATCTTCTTCCAATGTGGCTCAGGGAAGCCAAAGTTTGGAAACCTGTGCTTTAAACTGTATTATAATTTGAAATTCTGAATATATAGAGTTTAAATTACAAATCTCAGTTTGTTCTAAATGACATTTTGAAGTAAAATAACATATTTTTTCATATTTGGAAAAACGCTGATTTTTGTGATAAAATTGCTGCATATAAATTTTTGTAGAATTATATTTGTGACCTCTACAGGATTAAAAATCACTAAGCAGAAAAGATGCAACACCTGACCATGGTGTTCCTGTGATTTCTAAACCAAATCCCATTATGTCTACTACTCACCTTATACATTTTAGGCATGATGCAAAAACAGTAGTTCAAAAAAAATCTTAACATACAGCTCCTTATTAATACAAATATTCTATTGTCTCTAAAAGCAATGCAACAGCAGTCTGATTATGCAGCCCCTTATTGAGAAAGTGGACATTGGCTTTCCCTGTAAACTTGGAGGGAGATCACTGAAGGAAAAATGAAAATTCTTGTAAGATTTAAGAGCATGGGACAGAAGATGACTCTACTTGTGAAAAAAAGAAAAAATGCAGCCTTTTCAGAAATTATTTTCATTGGCACAGAGCTTCCCAAACTACATTTTAAGGCCTAGCTTCCTTATTGACCTTTGGCCTCCTTGCCTGTGTCCTCTCCTTCATTCACTCTCACCTACCTGGGGGTTTGGCTGCTGTCTCATGTATCTTCAAATTGTAGGGCTCTTTTCTTTGTTCCAGATAGGTGACCAGGTCTGGGTTAGAGATCACAACACCTGATTTAAAAAAAAAAAAAAAAAAAAATCACATGGCTATTGCTGGAGGATACTCCACTTACCAACCTATTACCATGTTAAGTAGAATAGAGAAATTATAGAAGATTCCAGAAAATCCAAAAATTGTTTCCTGACAGAATCTTTAGAATATTTAAATATTTTAAACCTGTGGGTTATAAGTTCCACTACCCAGTATTACTGAGTCAAAAATAAGTGAGGCAAATTGGATTTTAAAATGTAAAAAACAATATTTTATGTCATTTAATTTCTAGAATTACTACTGTCCTATAGTGAAGGACACAAATAAACTCAAGAAAACAGAAGGTTTATGTAATGATGAAACATCCTAAATATTTTCTTTTTTACACCAGCAAACTCCCAATTTTTTCTTGTAGAAAGGAATTGAAATTAAATTCATGCCAAGCAGAAGCTCCCAAGAGACATTCTACAAAGAAATAAAATGAAACTTTGAGGAAGTATTAGGAATTATGTATTAAAGTTATCCTCACCCAGGGAGACCAGGTTTCTGTAATTCTCCAACATCACATCTCTATATAAATTCTGCTGGGCAGGATCCAGACATTTCCACTCTTCTGAGGAGAATTCTACGGCCACATCCCTGAATGTTAAGAGTTCCTGAAAACACGATAAGTGACAGAGTTCTTAATGTGACTACAAGTGAAAGAAGAGAACTAGTTCTGACTTATGGGACTGACAGGAATTATCTGATAAAATAACTTTTAACACAATAATGTTCTCTAAAGTATTCTATAACTCTAAGGAAAAACGAGCACATGCCAGCAATTTTTGTTGCTGCTATGGAAATATGGCTATACTGACCTGTCCCTACTAAAACCAAGCAGAGCAGTCCCTCTAACCTCCTGGAACAAAGGGTGAATTCATGTCTCATTAAAGTATCTGGAAGCCCTCATGCTTGACCTGGGCCTCACTGTAATATCACATGAGAAACTTAATTCAGATGTGATACCTCCTGTCCCTGATCAACTAATCGGAGGTAGGGGAAGGACAAAAGTACTCTACTCCAGTAACACAGGAAGGCATAGTTGGGATTATGGACTTGGATATTTAGTGGTCTTGACTTCCCACTGCTAAGGTGCTTGTTTACACTTACAGATCCTGCCATAGGACTGTGTTCACACCAGAAGCCTCTTACACAGCTGCAGCAGATCTGGAAAACTCAAAGGGCTCCACTCTGAAAGTGGGGCTTAGGATATTTATGTTGATCTCTCACAACACAGAAAATGTTTTCTGTGACATTTCTGTATGTCTTCAACCCAAAGTCTGGCCCTGTCTTGTGAATCTTAGGCAGAGGCCAGCTTTTATGTGTAGATTCTAGGTGAGATCGATGTGTGCTACAATCCTGGAATATAAAGTTGCCCTGAATATACACCCTAATTAGAAGCAGTTACAAGCATATTTTTAAAGGCAAAAAGGAAGTCAGAGAGTAGATTGATAGAAAGCTGGCCGGGTGCAGTGGCTTATGCCTGTATCCCAGCACTTTGGGAGGCCAAGGCAGGCGGATCACCTGAGGTCGGGAGTTCGAGCTCAGCCTAACCAACATGAAGAAACTCGATCTCCATTAAAAAGACAAAATTAGCTTGGCATGGTGGTGCATGCCTGTAAACCCAGCTACTCAGGAGCCTGAGGCAGGAGAATCACTTGAACCCGCGAGGCAGAGGTTGTGGTGAGCCAAGATCATGCCATCGCACTCCAGCCTGGGCAATAAGAGCAAAACTCCATCTTAAAAAAATGTTGTCAGAAATTCTTATCAGTTAGTGATTAGACTTATATGTTAAGCTACAGGGTGTGGGTTATAGTGTCCAGTGTGGCATTATTAGGTTAATTTATAGCCACTTGTGACAATAACAAGGAATTTCAAAAGACAAATAGTTCAATGAGGGGAAGAGTATGTGAGTGTGGTCTCAATACATCTGAGTCTCATAAATTTAAAAATGTGTATTTCTCAGATAAAAGTTCTTTTATCAAGTCCCAGGACATAAATTCAGAATTTGGAACTGCCCCGTTAGATCTTGGAGGGCTGGTGAGTATGCACATTTGTGGGCATTTGGGCAAGGGGAGGTGGGAGGGAGCAGAAATTCCCATGTTTAATCAATACATATGTGTGATTATGGTAAGGTTTACGGGCCCCAAATCTCTGAAATCAGTGTCAGAACTGAAGATGCCAGGAGGACTGAAGGAGGTTAAATAACTGCTGTCCTGAAAAGTTATTTTTGTAGAAATTTAGTCTAAGTGCTCTACAAAGGACTGTAGATTCCAAAGAGAAAGGCCATTCTGTTTGCAGATTTGGGAAGCACTCTGCTGCACAACTGTGGGTTGTGACTGAAATCTTGAGAAAGAACGTTTTCTCAATGGCACTTTGTGTATAACATCTGGTAATTCTGGTCTGTGTGTGGAAAATACAACTAAAAGCAAAATCACCTGCAATTCTAAAAAATTCTCCACAATAACAGAACTGCAAGAAAATGTTTTGTTGTATAATTAAAAGAAAATGTGATGTGCATCATAAGCAATCTGTTAAGAGACTGCAAACACAGAAAGTCACCATAATTAGTTCTCAAGTAGAAGCCTTGAAAGCACCATTTGTCATACACAGTTTATTATAATTTCACCTTGTAATCTGGGAAGTCATCTGGGTTTTCTAATTTTTTTCTAATATTCAAAGACAGGATACAGATTTGCAATGTGGAGCTAGGTATCTGCTGAAGGCAGCCTCCTAGTCTCCTACAGAAACTGTGAAATACAGTGTATAATCTTGCTATTTACATTTCAAACAATAGTTCCTAGGTACCAGATAAAGACAATTTTGAGTCAAAAAAGACAAATGACTTATTTACCTGATAAAAATGATTCAAAAATATTTCAAAGAAGCGGAGAAAATATTAAAATACAAAAGTTCTTAAACTAAATGCTTTAAGAAAAAGGAGAGGAGCAAAAATTCCTCCCTCATTCTAAAAAGAAAACATTAAACCTCTTCTAATTTGTGCTTGCTCCTACAACAGCCAGGCCTAAAGGCATGGTCTTGAACTCACTAACATCTGAATTTTCATAGGCACCTAAAGGATGGACATGGGCACACTGTGTGCACAGAAAAGAGAATCTGTGGGAAGGAAAAAGCAGAAGAAAGGAGCTACCAAGAGTCACGGGTGGGAGCAGGGCAGGACTGACTGAAGCACTGGTGTGTGCTACAGTACAGGTACAGACCCAGTCAGGGCTACGCTCTGATTCCTGTGTCCATAAAGGCAGAAGAGATTAGGATCAGGTGGTCCAGAAGCCTGGGTTGCTGAAGAAAACAGGTTCCTGCTACATATCCAGAGTCTGGGGTTGAGATGAGCCAGGAATATTCTGGTCACTGCGTGTGTTGTCAGAAGGCTAGGAGCAAATGTGCCATGTGCACAATTCTTGAGGGTAAACCCTGTCCTGGGAGTAGTGTGGCCATGCAAATTCCCAGCAGGCACATTCAGGATTGGGTTAGCATTGGATGGGGGCTGGCAGCAGAGTGCAGAGAAGGTATGTTTTTCAGAACTCCTTTCCTCTAAGTTCCCAGTCCCCTCTCTCGCCGGGAGGAGACCTGGAAGAACAGGACAGTTCCCAGTGGGACAGCGTATGGGCAGAAACCAGCCGAGGCTACCTCAAGCCCAGACTCAGCCATGTCTTTCTTCTGAGAAAAAACATTCGGAGTTTGCTCAACACTAGCCAATGCTCCAACCCCAACGGGACGTCCAGCAACTCACTAACGACACCACCCAGAGTCAGCGCCGACCCCACAAGCTCAGCGTTCTCCCCGCAGCTGTCCCCCGCAGACGCCAGTCCCTGCCTCTGGACACGCGTCTTCATTTCTGAACGCCCGCCTACAAACCAAGGGCGCCCCCACCCTCCTCAGGTTCAATCACGTGGCAGAACTACTCAGAACTCAGCGAAGCGCTGGGCGCACCTCCGCCGGTGTATTCTAAAAGATGCCCCTCAGGAACGCCAAGCGGAGGAGACGCTCAGAGCGAGGGAACTGGCGGGAAAGACGGGGCGGGCGGGTGATTCGCTTCGCTCCCTCACACACCTCACAAAAGCCTTTCCTTCAAGGCCCGCGGGCAGCCCCCAAACCACGAGCCACGGCCGGGGCTGTCCCATCCATGAGTCCCCGTTTGCTCACAGGAACTCCATGTTTTCACGGAGCCTCCCTCTAATTCCGAACAGGGTCCAGTAGGGACGGGACCCCGGACCACAGCGCCTCCCACGCAGGCACCGCGCACGCCGCGCCGGCGTCTTCCCGATCAGCTCCTCCTCACCTCACAGCCCGGGGAAGGTGCGGGCTGCGGGCGCAGAGCTGCACAAGAAGGGCTGCGGGCGCAGAGCTGCACAAGAAGGGCTGCAGGCTGGGCCAGAGCCGCCGTGCGGGGACCGACGGGAGCCCGGGTCCCTCACCGGAGGGGACTGAGGACCGACGGCTGAGCTGCGGCAGCCGGGACTCGGCTCACAGACTCGGTCCCGCCGCCGCCATTTCCCGCCGGTTCCGATGAAGCCTCCCCAGCCTCGGGACGCCCTGCCCCGCACACTCACCATTTCTGGGCTTCAGGGTGTCGCGGAGTCTTAGCTACGAATCATCCAATGCCCGCAGCTCACAGAGCGACGGAGGCCGAGGCTGTGGCCGAATCACCCGGGCCTCCGGGAGCCGAGGACACGAGGCGGTGAACACCTAACCCGCGCCCTAACAGGAGCCAGAGGAAAAGGTTTTGCCAGATTCCGGAAGCCGCCCCCTTCTCTCTGGCTGCGTGCGTGATTGGGCAGTTGTCACTCCAGCATTCTGATTGGATAGTACTCCAATCCCCGCCCTCAGGCCTTGAGTGACAGAAGTTGCAACCATACACTCCACTGAATGAGGCACAAGTGTCAGGCTCGGGCTTCCAGGCACTTTCAGGCAGGGCTTTCTCTCCGTGCTTGGCCTGATGCAGCCCCGGGGTCATTTTTAACCTTGTGGTGTGTAAGGTCCACTTATAAAGTACACGCAAGCATGCACAGAGACGTACACTTACACAGACACACACGCGCGCGCGCGCATACACAGACATGCACGTGCACACACACTCCAAGTGCGTACACACATGGATGCACAGGCACACACTTTTTCACAAATGGAAATAATATAATGACAATTTTAATACTTTACATTTCATAACCCCTCTGGCCGCTTGTCTTTTGGGTAGGACACCTGAGATTTGAAGAGGGAAGCAATCCTCTAAAAAATAAAATGTTAGCTATTTGTGAATTATCCATTTTTATTATCCACGTCAAAAATAATTTTAAAAAGTGAAATTGTAATAATTTTTAACCAGTTAAAAATTGTTTTAATATGTGATCAATATATAATTAATAACAAAGTATTTTTTGATCTAAATCTCTTCTAAACTCACTGTGTATTTTATGTTTGCAGCATATTTTACTTAAAACCAGCCACATTCCAGGTACCCAGTAGCTGCGTATGTCAGGTGGCTGTTACACTGAGTGCTGCCATAAGGCCTCTGATTTCAGGAAGGTGAGGGCCTGAGCACCTCTTTTCTGCTGGAAGTGAGGGAACAGGCTCTCTCTACCAACTTTTCTCCTCAGGCTTCACTGTGGGATGGGACAGTGCCCCTAAACAGAGCAGTGGCTGCAAGCTGAGAGTATCCACGTGAAGACCACGGTTTCCCAGTTGCTGTTTGGTGGAGGTGTGGTGGTCTCCTCAGTTCAGCCAGGTCCGGACTCTTGTGCCATGACCAAGAAGAATGGAGCACACCGATGCCAGACAGTGAGTAAGGCAGAGTGGATTTATTAAGCAAAAGGAAGGCTCTTAGCAGCAAGAGGGGACTTGAAAACAGGTTGCCAGAAATGAGGCTGAATTCTAGGTCTTTTGTGTGGCAAGAAAAAGGAAGTCTTCTGTGGGTTCTGCCCAAATGGGAGCGCTAAAGTTCCCCATTAAGGGTGTTGCATCTTCACATGCCTGGGGTCGGCCACAGCGACTCCATTTTTGTTATTACCCATGAGTGCCTAAGTGAAACTTACAGGAGGGGAGCTACAACCGCTATGCTAATGTCATGTTAATGACTTTATAATGAGCTGGGTCAAGTTAAGGACATTTAGGTTGATTTATTGCCCCTGTGCCCAAGCTGGGACAGTCCCTTAGGAGCAACATCCTGGCACAAGAGGAAGTTCTTAACCACATTTATTAAGTGGTATGTGGTCCTATAAGCCACAACATGCCTCTGCTTCAAAAAGGCCACCAAGTCCGGGATGGAAATACAAGAATTGTGATAGAATCCAATCACCTAATTTGTTGATTGAAGAGGATTTCATTTCTGTAGGCATCATCAATTTTCTCACTTCTCCCCATTTATTGTACAGGTTCCATCTTTTGTCCTGCAGCCCTTTCACCAAATCATAACCCAGGATAACGGTGAAGGCACAGAAAGTGATAAGCTGCTTCATAACAATCTTTACTAAAGAACAAAAAGCAACAACTTTCTGTCTATGAGTTACAACTGTCTATTTTAACTTAGAAGATTCAAACTTCAAAATTAATAATTACTTATATAAAAATATTTTGGTTATATATAAAAGTAAAATATTCCAGCACTTTGGGAGGCTGAGGTGGTGGATCACTTGAGGTCAGGAGTTCAAGACTAGCCTGACCTACATTGTGAAACCCTGTCTCTACTAAAAAAATATCAAATTAGCCAGGCATTGTGGTGTATGCTGGTAATCCCAGCTACTTGGGAGGCCGAAGCAGGAGAATTGCTTAAACCTGGGAGGCAGACGTTGCAGTGAGCTGAGATTGTGCCATTGCACTCCAGCCTGGGCAACAAGAGTGAAACTTTGTCTCACAAAAAAAGGAAAATATTATCCTTAATTTTTATCTTAGAAAACTATGTTATATTCTATAAACAGAGTCAAATAAGTTAATTTTTCTTCAGCCATGTTAAGATGCACTATTGTATTCATATCTTAAGAAAGAGTAAGTATGGACACAAGAGCTTGTTTTCCTTTTCCAGACTTAAAATTTGTGACATAAAAGTTAACTGAATTGAGAGAGTTTCAACTGGGTTTCCACATCATTTTCCACAGTGGAATCATCTGAGGCATAGAATTCAGTGTACCCACAAATAGCTTTGAGATATCATCCTCTGAGTTTTTTTTTCCAGTATTGAAGAGTAAAACTAAAGTTTGTTCACTAAGATGTTTAATTCAACCCCAGTACCAGAGACACACGTGGCCAAAGTCAGCTCTTGAAGGTGTTCTACCAGGAGGTGCTATAATTAGATCTGGACCCAGAGAATTAGAGAAAAGGCACAATGAAGTTCGCAACAGCAGCTGCTACATTTAAAAATGTTAGAGCTATTTTAAAATCATTTTCACTTGCCTGGCTTTTTGGGCCTGTAAGTCTCTCTTCGCTATTTCAACACATCCAACAGAGTTTTCAATTAGTATGTGAAACCAAAAGGTCAGACTGTTCTAGTCTGATACAAATCATCCCTAACTAAAATTATTCTAGTGTTGAAACAGGAGCAGTGAGAAACAACCTCTCAAACACCAAACTGAGGAAGGAAGTGGCCTTTTGTTGTTGTTTTTTTGTTTTTTTTGAGACATAGTCCTGCTCTGTTGCCCAGGCTGGAATGTAGTGGTGCTATCTCAGCTCACTGCAACCTCCGCCTCCCAGGTTCAAGTGATTCTCCTGCCTCAACCTCCTGAGTAGGTGGGATTACAGGTACCCACCGCCATACACAGCTAATTTTTGTATTTTCAGTAGAGACGAGGTTTCACCATGGTGGTCAAACTGGTCTCAAACTCCTAATCTCATGATCCGCCCACCTCGTCCTCCCAAAGTGCTGGAATTACAGGCATGAGCCACTGCATCTGGCTGGAAGTGGCTTTTTATTTGGCCAGGAGCCTAGGGGTGGTGGTGGCGGGGTGGCTACAGCCTCATTCACTGAGCTCCCCGAGAAGCAGCTTCTCTCCCTTTTTATAGGCTTATAATGCTAAAGGGTAAACTAAGGTGAAACTATGTCATTGTCCATTTGCTGGACATCTGATCTTACAATCCTTTGGCTTCATTGATTTGCTAATTTATATGCAGCATGAGTGGGGACTGGCAGAGGAGGGGGCTTACAGAAACAAGACAAAGGCAATAAACTATTAGTTGGCAGAGGTGTTTCCAGGAGGGAGCCTGGGACTTGCAGATGTAGGGGCGTGACCCAGTGCCAGGCTCCAGCCAGTAGGGATAACATTCATTTGCAACTGTTTCAAGGCTTACAGATAGCAAAGATGCTGGGAACTGAAAAGGGAGTCATTTTCCCAGCTCTTTGGTATTTTATTTCTTTTTTTCTCTTTTTCACCCTCATTCCCTTCTGGAGGGGAGGAGGCAGAGGCTGGAAGCGGAAGGAGGGGAGGGGATCTCCCCTCTCAAAATATGCTTCCATTTCATGAAAACTGTTCCATGAAAATTTGGATATCCTCAAGAAAGCATTGTTCCAGAATAATTTAAAGCATTAGCTATGCGTTATCTGCATGCTACTATATTTTAGAATCTAATTTTTAGGAATTACCATATAAATTGATTGTATTTTTTTTTTGAGATGGAGTTTCACTCTCATTGCCCATACTGGAGTGCAGTGGCGTGATCTCGGCTCACTGCAACCTCCGCCTCGCAGGTTCAAGCGAGTTTCCTGCCTCAGCCTCCTGAGTAGCTGAGGTTACAGGCTTCTGCCACCATACCTGGCTAATTTTTTTGTATTTTTGGGAGAGACAGAGTTTCACCATGTTGGCCAGGCTGGTCTCAAACTCCTCACCTCAGGTGATCCACCCACCTTGGCCTCCCAAAGTGCTGGGATTACAGGCATGAGCCACTGCACCCAGCTGATTGTATATTGTTTTGAAGAACCCAGAACATTCTCCAGTATTGCATTCAGTTCAACATGGCAAGTGCTTCACTGCATGGAAAACACTTTGAAGACAAAAACAAAATCTTATTTCTTTTTTTGTAGCCTTCTTGATATTTACAGTAATATCATTAACTGTTTTCTTTATTGATAGCAAAGAAGGATACTGTTTGCAATGTAATTAAATATTCTATAGTGCAACAAGGAATTGCCTTCTGAAAGGAGGTTCATGTATAACATTCATTTACAATGTAATATATAATTATGCAAATAGTTTTAAAATATAATCAATAAAAAAGACTTCTGTGGATTGTAGTGCTTAACACATTTTATGTTTTGTATAGTGATTTTGGGCCTTTTGTTTTCTTAAAATCAGCAGCTATTTAGCCTAATTCTTTGTGTTATTTTGTCCTTGGGCACCAGAACATTTTTGTGCATGCTTTATGTGATCTGTTAAAAATTTGCATTGCCAACATTGCAGCTCAAACTTAATTTGTCATTCAAATATTTAATTTTTTAATTGCTCTTGTATAATCAGATGCCCCTTTTAGTATTATTTTATAAGCATTGGGAGGGTTTTGCCTAAAGTAAAATTTATTGAGAAAAACTAGATTTCAGTTTTATAGAATTTTAAGTCTTTCATGGGACCTATATTTTCTTGAATTCAATTTTGTACTTCTAGAATAAATAGGTAATCTAAACAGGTTAAACCTTAAAACAGAGGCTTTCTTATATTTTAACCTACTAAACTAAAAGAAGGAATTCCTGTCATTAAGCACAAAGACACTGGATCCTCAAGTGCTGGTATCCATCAGAGAAAAAGCAGTGCCTCCTGCAAGTTTCTGGTG